CCCTCTTTCAGATGACCCCTCCTCTCTCCCTCCTTGTGATATATATATATATATATATGTTGTATTTGTGCTGATAAATAAATAAAGGGAGACTAGTATAGATCTATTTCAAGCTATTTAGCTCTCATCAGCTAGCCATACCCTTACTGGGATTAGAACCTGTGCTGTATTACATCTTAGGCAGATGTGTTAACCACTAAACCACAAGATCCTTCTCCGTTATCAGCTGAGCCAGGGAGATAGGTATATATTAAGTGTTACAACGCCTGGTATGCCCAAATACGGGAGGAAGCTCACTGCTTCCACTCTCTGTCCATTGGCTCATCACAAGAGACCATCCAGACAGAAACCCAATATTTTTACTGTTGCCTTTGTTACATTTGTGTTGTATTTGTGGCTTAGTGGTTAACACATCTGCCTAGGATGTAATACAGCACAGGTTCTAATCCCAGTAAGGATGGCAGGATAAAAAAATTAAAGTAGATATCTTAGATAAGCCGCAAGATCTTTATGATCTACTTGTTGGGTCAGAGGAAGAGCATAGCAGCAGGGAGGAATTAGAACAGATGAGCCAAGAAGAAGGCCGACAGACTGTGAAAGGAAAAGACCAGGAGAAAAGAAGTAAGGAAGAGAAAGAACACCAAGAAGGAGTCAGAACAAGAGCACAAAGGGATATAAGGACTAATAGAAGACTGCGACTGACACAACAGTAAGAGAATGGAAAATGAACTGAAAGTGTTTTCACTAAATGTTAATGGTCTTAATTCTCTAGTTAAAAGGAAAGAAATATTTACAAAATTAGTGAAACAGAAAATGGATATTGTGTGCCTCCAGGAGGTACACATTAAGAAGCTAGATGAAAAATATTTACAATGTAATAAATTGGGGGAATGTTATGTAGCTCTGGCGGAAAAGAAAAAACGGGTGGCAGTATACATCAGGACAGGGATAAAAGCAAAACAAATATATGCAGATACAAAGGGAAGTACTGATAATTGAAATAATTCTAGGTCAAAAAAGTCTGCTCCTAGCAGTGATATATACACCTAATAAAAATCAAAAGGAATTCTATATAAAAGTTCATGAAAAGATTATAGAGATTGGAAAAGAAAATATATGTTTAATTGGCAATTACAATGTGATTGTAGATATAAAGAAAGATTATGCCAATGACCAGAAAAATAAGAAAAAAAGAATACTCTTCCAAAAACCTTTTTCAAAATGGCAGAGGAACTAAATTTAGAAGACATTTGGAGAACTCGTAACCCAGAAGAAAGTAAATTTACGTTCTACTCTAACCCTCATAGATCCTGGTCAAGGATCGATATGATTTGGATAAATGTAGAATTACATAAAGAAATAGAGGCAGTAGAGATTTGGCCAAATACCTGGGCAGATTGTAATCCCCTTGTAATAATATGGAAAGGGCAAAAAAAGAAGAAAGGAAGATGGACATTGAGCCCACAAACTTTAAAACAAAAGGAATATATTAAATGGATTACAAAAAAATTAGAATTAGTCTTTCAGGTCAATAAACAACATACCTCGGTACAAAACTTATGGGACACAATGAAGGTGTATATCAGAGCACTAATAATAGCTATACTGCTAAGAAAAATGAGAAAGAGAAAGATTACAATACACTACAAGAGGAGATTAAAGAGTTGGAAGCCAAACTATAAAAGAAGCCCGGGGATGAGCAAATTAAAAGTAAAAGGGCCCTAGCCAAGCACAAATGGAATATACTGGATCAGGAGAAAAACGCAAGAAACCTAAAATTTGTAAAACAAAACCACTTTGAACATACAAACAAACCAGGGAGATAGTTAACATATAGGTTAAAAAGAAAGAGAGAAGAGAATAATCCAGCAACTACAAGACAAAAATGGAAATTTACAAAGCAATATGGATAAGAAAAAGGAGTTTGCACAAGATTTATTTCAGGAGCTTTACAAACAAGGAGTTGCAATAGAGAAAATAAAGGATTATTTGAAAGGAGAAAACATACCCCCGCTAACAGAAAAGAGAAATAGTAAATAGGGAGATAACATTAGAACTTAAGGAAGCAATTCAAAGGCAAAAATCAAACAAGACGGACGGGTTACCAGGGAAATTTATAAGAACTTAGATGAACCAATTAAGTTGTTATTACTGGAAGTCTGTAATGACATTTGACAGAAGCTAAGCTACCAGAATCATGGAGAGAAGCATATATCTCCCTGATTTTGAAAGAAGGTACAGATGGCACACAAATTAAGAACTATAGGCCAATCTCTCTTTTAAATGATGACTACAAAATATTTATGAACATTATTGCAGAAAGAATGAAGAAATTATTAAAAGAAAATATACATTCGGATCAAAATGGATTCTTACCGATGAGACAAATAAGAAATAATGTAAGAATAGTAATTAATATAGTGGAGGCCCACCCAGAAAAACAGGCAGCCCTGGTCTTCTTAGATGCCCAAATTGGCAATTCATGACCCAACAAATAAAAGAAATGAAGTTTGGAGAGAAATTTGAAAATATGATAAGAGTCAATCTACTCCACCCAGAAAGCAAGCATAATATTAAATGGGGAGATTACCAAACCATTTGAAATAAGGAAGAGGGTACAACAGAGATATCCACTATCACCTCTTCTCTTTATTTTGACTTTAGAAATTTTATTAATAAGAATTAGATTGTCTTTGGGAGTAAGAGGAACTAAAATTAAACAAGAAGAATATAAGGTCTAGGTGTTTGCTGGTATTCTTCATAGAAGAGCCATTGGAATCGTGACAAATACTAACACAAGAGAGAAAAATATGGGGAAGTAGCAGGCCTCACAATTAATAAGGAGAAAACTAAAATGCTAGTCAAAAATTTAACAGATAAACAGAAGAGAGAATTAGAGAAGGAATTGGGGCTGCGGATTGCAATGAAGGTCAAATATCTAGGTATTTGGATAACGGTGAGATGCTCCTCAATAAAAGAGGATAATTACATGATTCTATTCCAACAAATAAAGAAGGACCTAGAAGCATGGGGGAAACTACAATTAGCATTGTTAGGAAAAATTGTGACCATTAATATGAATATCATACCAAAAATACTTTACTTATTACAAATGATTCCTGTAAAATTGGATAAAAAATTCTTCACAGATTTAAACAAAATAACTATAAAATTTGTCTGGGCAGATAAAAAAGCATGAATAAAATTAAATGCATTGCAGGACAGCAGGAGTAGAGGTGGCTTTGGACTCCCAGTATGGGAAACCTATTGCAAAGCAGCAAGTTTAGTATGGATTAGAGCCATGATGGCAACCTATGGCATGTGTGCCATAGGTGGCACACGGAGCCATTTGTTATGGAACGCAAGGCGTTGCCCTGTCAGCTCCAGCTGACTTCAGCCTTCATTTTTTGCAGTTTTTCGCCCTCTGGAGGCTTTAGGGAAGCCTCCTGAAACCTCTGGAGGACCTGCAGGGGGCGGGGGAGGAGGTTTTCGCCCTCCCCAGGCTCCTAGAAAGCCTCTGGAGCCTGGGGAGGGTGAAAAACTGGTCCATCGTGTGCCAAAAGTGGGGGAGGGGGTCACACACACATGCATAGGGGGGGTCACATGGGCATGCATGGGGTTTGCATACATAGAATTATGGAAGTGGGCACACCCGCACATGACCCCCCATGCGTTCCCCCTGCTTTTGGCATGCAATGGCAAAAAGGTTAGCCATCACTGCTATAGCTTGTTCCGTCTTACTGTGGTATTAACCATCAGCTGCTTCTTTATTCTCAAAATTTTGCCTCGAAAAGCCCACTGATCATGGAAAACTCAGCACAGGGAACAGTGCGCTGTTCCTCTGCACTGCCATGACACAACGTCACCACTGGAAGACCAAGGGTATCCCTTCCAATGCACTAAATACTGCAATCGTCCCCTCTGCAATCTAGAGTCCAATATCTTCTTCACTTTATAATGAATCTCATCCTGAACCCAATTAGCTTTGGAGATACAGTAGGTTGAGGTCTCAGTCTAGAACCCACAGCAGGTTTTAACAGACTGCAATGGAAGTTAGGATGAATTATTCCCAGTCTGTGAGGGAGATTACTGGTTTAATCACTTTCACTATGGGGAAGAGACCTAGGTACTTTGGTCCTGACTTTTTACTTTTCAAACTCAAGCATATGTACTTGGTAGAGAGATATATATGATCCCACCTGAAAGTGTTTCATATTCTCAGGTAAATATAGGATAACAAGAAACATACACAATATTTTATCCATTTTGATGCAAATTCAATCCAATTTTTTTTAAAGAAAAAAAAAGATTTATTGTAGCTGGCCAGTTAGTGGCAGACTTATCTCATAACAGGAAACTAAGGTGGCAGTCCTTATGTAGGTATAAATTGCTGATTTTAAGAGTTCGGTATTTGTATAATTTTTAATATAATAATTCTGGAACAAACAGGGAAAGTCATAGTTTTCATTTCTGTAATGTTGGAGAATGAGGCCTTTTGATGATATAGCTTCTGTTTTCCTATGTAACTGGATAGTCTTGCCCCCCCCCCCACACACACATGAGCTGCATAATTAATTTTACTGTTCTTATTTCCTTTGTTGATTTTTGTCCTATGGTTTCTCTTTCTAGATGCACCATGGTGCTCTCCTATCAAGGTAAAATATGGTTATGCAAATTGCAGAAGTCCTATGGAAGGGTATTACAGAAATGTCTTGGGGACCACATGTGGCATTCATTGTCAGAAAGGTTATGAACTGAATGGTCCTCAACATCTTATTTGCCAGTCAAACAAACACTGGTCTGGGAAAGTTTTCTGCAAACGTAAGTGGCTCATTTTTTTCCTGAAGATTTGCTTTCAAGTTCTTTGTTTCTGATCCTGTGGCTCTTGACCATATATACCGTATTTTTTGGAGTATAAGACGCTCCAAAGTATAAGATGCACCTAGATTTCGGGGAGGAAAACAAGGGAAAAATATCTGCCTCTGCCTCCCAGCAATTTGCCTCCTTGCAGCAAATGGGGGCTTG